CAGTCACTCATGCAGCAGCGAGGTACAAAGCCTTCTACGATCGTAAAGCCAAGCCTACGGCTTTCTTCTCGAACGCCAGAGTCTTTGTACGTGCCGGATGGTCCGTCTGCACCTCCTGTCCCGTCTAGATTACGGACGAGGCCTGTGCCCTCTTCGGCAGCCTCTACTCCTGCAGCCTCATCAAGACCGTCTACGTTACTCCCGCGGCCGTTTATGTCGTCACCTCCTACAGCGGAGGGACGACCCGTTCACGGGCATTATTCGCCCCCGTCGCCGCCGCTCGCCTCTACACCGCTCCCGTCGCCGGCCCCTGGTAATCTTCAGAGCCCGGCTGAGTCGGTACCTTCGTATGGTTCCCTGCCTCCCCTGGAACCATCCCGACCTGTGTCACTTGACGAGCTTCCTCATGGACGCTCACGGTCTGTGACGTCTGCCACTCCTCTGGAGTCTCCCGAAGAGTCAACGCCGCTTCCCTCCGGTATGGCAAGCCCGATTATGGACGCTGGCTGCGAGTCTCCGGAAGGAACGCCGACACCCTCTGACAGAGGGCCTCTGTCAGCGACCCCATCCAACAACTTGCCGAAATGCCGCCGTCCTCGCCTCCGGCAGAGGCAGCGCCCGAGTCCACGAGACCCTCCACTAGGTCTAGGGCTGGTCACTGTTCTCGACCACCGACCCGCTTCGACCCCGACACCTACGTCCCGATGGCTCTTCGTTCTGAACGAAACCATGGACGTTCTAATTCTCCTTAATTGAGGAAGGAGGTTTGCGTGGGAGGAGAAAGAGATTGGTGGCACCAATTTGGTGCACCCTTCTAACTCTCTATACTGTCTCGAGTTGGACGATCTCTCGACCCTCCGCGTTGCCTTTTGTGAAAGCCTGCCGGCAGCCTTTCCCCGTTCATGGATAGTTCCCATACATCTCCATTCTGTACATGTCGAAGCCTGTTATTTAATTGGTTATGGTTGGATGTAAAGGTCCTGTACAACATGTTTTGGTTATTCCTGCAAGTTGATTTTACCATTGCCTTGCAGTAACTGCGGGATTCCGAGCCGTTTCGGAGGTTCCAATTCTGCGCTGTATTTCTAGTCTATCCAGTCGATATGTCTACGGTTTTGTCCCTGATTTACCCGTGATATCGATGATGCAGCCTGATCCGCCGAAGAGGACGACCTCAAGATTGAAGAAGTCGTTGCTGAGATCGTGACGGGCAGTGAAACCGAGAATGCTCAAGCTCAAGCCCCGGCTCAAGGCTCTGCTTGCTCTAAGCACGGCCCTTCGAGCTAAGCTGATTCTGTTCTATTCTGGACGGCTCGGACAAGCTGTTGCCGTAAGGATGAATTAAGTATGAGCCTTTTTATTATTTTGATTAAGTACACCGCTGTAGTATGTATTGCTAGAACTTGTATATGCTGCCCTCATTGATACGCTGCACGCGCGATACGCTATTTTCCGTCTGTAGCCCGGTTCGGATCTGCATGGGAGGAATGTGACGGGACGTGCTTCGCTCCGCTGTGGCCCACTGTCCCTATTCTCTGTGCGATCGTTCACTGTGTGCTACAGACCGTATCTGCGAGTGCTGCAACCGTTTCGCAGTATCTTTAGCTATTGGATATCGATCATACGTAATTGTCGTATAAGCTTAGTTCAAGCCTACTACGAGCTCTGTACAAGCACACTTTACACGTAGTCCACTCGTGTTCTGTACACGTACTCCACTCGTACTCTTATCCCCGTCGTCTATCGTAGTATCCCTGCGGTAGTTATACTCTCTGGTTATCTCTATCTCGCACAGTCACCACTCTGTACGTAGTTGGATATCTGATTATAGCCTAGTCAGCTCAACTTCTCATACCCTAGGTGTGCTGGTTGTGTTCTTCTCATTAGTTGGGTCGGTTCACTCGTGCGACATCCCTATGGTCCTCCAATCACTCTTGTGATTCGTGCTTGCGTTCGGTGATCTTGAGTCGAGATTCACGGACGATGCGCGAATCGGCTATCTGATTCTGAATCAGAGGCTCTGAGTAAAAATCAAGCATAAAATCGCCTTTTGATTTTTGAATCACGACCGAGATTTAATTCAAGCTCGAAAGATTCTGATTTCGCACTCTGGAGTAAAAAATCACTGAATCAAGCTGTATTACTCACTGTGTGATTTTTTTCTCTGAGTGAAAAATCTTACTCACCCCTCGAATCAGTATCCGCATACGGTCCCTGCGAACAATGGGCGAGCGAGAT